GTTAATTTTGTTAAATTATTTTAACTTTAAGAATATTTATTTTACTAAAAAAATAATTCATATATTTATTATTTTAAATTTTTATAATTTATAAAAAAAGTTAATTAACTAAACTCTCATTTTGTTCCTTGAGATAATAAACATAAGATATTTTAGTTCCTAAAATTTTAAAAATATTACATCAGTCCCTGACTTTCACATTTATTAAACATTTTAGTCTTTACATATAAACATAATTAATAGATAGTAACAAAATACTAATTTAGTAAAAATAATATTATTTCACATGTTAAATGAGTAAACGTAGTCAAATAGTCATTATTATAACTTTTTGCTATTCTCTAAGTGAAGAACTACAATTTTTTCTCAAATCCTAAGACTCATTCGCAACTCATAATTGTTAACGTTGAAAAATTTAAAATTGTTTGTATTGTTCTCACAAAAAGAGAAATCATATGGAGGATTTGATATTTTTTTTTCTAAGTTTTATTATGCTTATGAAAAGATCTATACGAGAATATGAATAAAGGTGTGAAAAAATGTCAAAACACCAAGCATAAAAAAAAAAAATACAATCAAAAGAGTAAAAAGATAAAAAGAACATTATTTGATGATTTTTTTTTTTTAGGGTTTAAGGTTTATCATTGTGCTTGAAAAAAAAAAAAGAGAATAAGAATGAGAATAATTACATAATAAAAGAATAAAATATCAAAACACAAAGCAAGAACAATTACATGATAAAAAAATAAAATGTTTTTTGTTAGGGTTTACTATTGAACTTAGAAAAAGAATCAAAAGAAAATAAGAATAAAAGTGAAAAAAATATCAAAATACAAAGCAAGAACAATAATTAAGAGAGTAAAAAGATAGACAAGACCTTACTTAACATGATTTTGTTATGTACTTTCGTTTGCTCTCTAACATTTGCTCTTTATTCTTCTTTTAATGTTAGCACATTGATAAACTGAACTTCTGTTATTCAGCTTATGACTTGGCAGAGGATGGTTGATTGTATGACCAAATTTCAAATATTTTGAGAATGTTAAGAGCTAAATCCTATTAATTTTTTGAAGACAAATTTCAAAGAATACTACTTTTTTTTATATTTTTATGGTAAGAAATGAGTAAAGAAGTGAATAAACTTTATTGGTGGTTAATATAAGACAATAAATATAAAGATAAAGTGGACATTGCACATAGTTTATATATAGTTGGTGGCAATCAAATTTTAGATTTTAACAGAAAGGTAATGGTTTTAGTTATATTCTAAATTTTCATATAAAAGTAAAGAGGTCACTAAACTTCTGAACTTTGATAGAAATGTGTCAATCAAATTTCAAATTTTTTTAGGAAAGTAAAATAGGACATTTAGGTTTTTGACTTTTTTGAAAAAAAAAGGTACCAATTAGATTATAAACTTTGACAAGAAATAAAATGTGTTAATTAGGTTTTGAATCTTTTTGACAAGCAAATGAAAATGTCAATTAGATTGTGAACATTTTGAAAAATTAAAAGTATTAATTAGATTATGGACTTTTGATCAAAAGTAGAGGGCTAATCAAGTTTTGAATTTTAGGAGAAAAGTAAAGGTGTCCAATTAGAATAGTTACTTAATAAAAAATATATATTTTTGTTGCGATTTATTATTGAGCTTAGAATAGAACCAAAAAATAATAAAAATGAGAATGCAATATACATGTACATGAGAAAGGATTTTCTTACACTAGTGTAAGTCTAAAAGCTCTTACACTTGATCTAAGCTTTTCATTTAACTTATATCTAACGAGTTATAATTTATTACTTTACTGACCGTTAAATGTAAGTTAAATGGAAGACTTAAATCAAGTGTAAAATTTTTTAGACTTACACTAGTGTGAAAAGATCATTCTTCTATATATATAAAAATAAAGTAAAACAAAATAAAGAGAACCTTACTTAATGTTTTTCTGTTAGGTGCTCTTGATTGTTCTCTAACATTTTCTTCTATTCTTCTTTTTTGTTGGCTTTTTATAACTTTGAATTGTCGCTTCTTCTTTCTCAATCACTTCAATGATATTTTCTCTAAAAATACGTTAAGAAGAAGATTTTTTTTCATAATTTTTTTTTCTTTTTTTTTTTAAGACAATCATTTGAACTCTCAAAAAAATCTATACATCTTATTTTTTGAATTTTTTAAAAATTAAATTTTTTGTTAATTATTTATTTGAAATGGAGACCTAAATAAAATTGGTTATTCACTCACGCACACATATATAAGGTTTAATTATGCTTTTTGTTCCTATAAATATAGGTTATTTTGCGTTAAGTTCCTATAAATTTTTTTGTTAGGATTAAATTCTTGAAAAATTAGAAATTTTGGATTTAGTCCTTATCATCAACTCTACATAATATTTTATTATTTAAAATAAATATTTGCAAAAAAAATTTTGAGCAAATTTACATATTTGTAAATAAAGTCTTCTTCTTCTTCTTCCATCAAATTTACATATGAGAGAGGTTTGAAGTTGAGGAAGGTGGATGGGGAAGAGATACAAAAAAGAGAGAGGTTTAGAGTTAAGGGAGTAAGGTTAAGTGAAGCGGAAGATGAGAGATTACAAGAGAAGTTTGAATGTGAGGGAGAAGGGTTGGGGTTGGAAGGGGCTATAGGAAAGGTTTGGGGTTGAAGGAGTTGGATGAGAAGGGGTTTAAGGTTGAGGGAATGTGATTGGGGGAGGGGGAATGAGAGTAGGAGTAGGAGGAGGGAGAGGGGTGCTAGAAAGGGGAGGGGGAGATGGGTATGGAGAAGGAGAGAGAAAGGGTGTAGAAAGAAAAAAGAAAAAAAATTAGAAGAATTTTTATGCAATTATATAAAATATATTTAAGGATTTATTTGTAATTATGTAATTTTAAATAATAAAAAATTAAAAAATAATTGACATGACATATTATGTGGTGCATATAGGACTGCTGAGTTAGTTTTTTATTTGCTAGCTCAGCACTCAATTGACGGTAGAGATTAAAATCATAATTAAGCCTATATAAAATTAAAAACTTAATATTTAGATAATTTTAAATTTTATAAAAATATATAATAATTAATGATCAATATATTAATTTTTTTTAATATTTTAAAATATAAAAATAAATTTAATTAATATTCTAAAATAACCATTGAAATTTATTACATAAGTGTTAATTTTATTATGACTCAGCGAGTCATATCTTTTTTTTTTTCATAAAAGGTTATTCACACGCACACATACATACATGTGTATATATATATCTATTTCATAGGCGTTAATTTTACTTTAACTTGGCATGTCTCTTTTTCATAAAAGGCCAACAACTCATGTTGAAATTGTTAAAAAGACATAAGTTACAACAAATTGTATACATATTTAAAAATATTACTCAAAACAAAATAGACTCTTGATAGAAATTGAAATATAGACATTTCTACACATAATACGACACATTATTCTATCTTAGATTTATTGTTGTAGTTTGTATATAAATAAAAAACTTTTTTATCTTAAAATTTTAATATGTTTAGATCAACTTGATAATATGCTTTTAAAGTCAAAGATTGATATATTTTTATCTATTCACTTCAAACATTAAGTTCACTTTATGCATGCAAATTTAGTTTAAACCTTGAACCACACAAAAAAAAAAAAAACATAAAAGTAATGGTGTTAGATTATAAACTTTCACGTAAAAGTAAAGAGACCAGTCAATTTTTGGATCTTGGCAGAAATATACTAGTCAAATTTCAAATTTTGATAGGAAAATGAAGTAAAACGGTTAAGTTTTAGATTATTCTAACAAAAAATGAAAGTTTCGGTTAAATTAGAGACTTTGACAAAAACAATAAAAGGGTCAAATTTCAAATTTTGATAAGAAAATGAAGTGAGAAGGTTAAGTTTTAGACTTTTTTGACAAAAATAAATAAATAATGGTATCCGTTAGAGATTAGAAACTTTGAAAGAAAAAAAAAAGTAAAAGAGTTTTGACAAACAAGGGAAAATGTCAATTAAATTTTTAATTTTGTGAAAAAATAAAAGAGTCAATTAAACTCTAAACTTTTGGTAGAAAGTAAAAGATTAATTAAGTTCTGAATTTTTATTAGAGTTTATTATTAAGCTTATAATAGAATTAAAAGATAATAAAATTAAAGATTATATATATATATAGAGAGAGAAATAAATAAAGAGAGCCTTAACATTTTTTTTAAGTGCTCTTTAACATATCTCTATTTTCCCTTTTTGTTGACTATTCATAACTTTAATATTTTTTACTTTTTTTTTTCTCAACCTCTTTAATGATATTTTTTTAAGAGTGTATTAAGAAAGAAATGATTTTTTTTAATTTTTTTCTCTTTTTGAGGAAACTTATCTGAATTCTCACAAAAATCTACTCATTTTTATTTTTTAAATTAAATTTTATTATTATTACTATTTATTTATTTAAAATAAAATTAGTTATTCGCATACGTTTACATGTATACACATGTATAAAAGCAGGATCTTTTTACATTGGTGCAGTCTAAAAACTTTTACATCCAACCTGAATCTTTTATTTAACTTAAATTTAACAGGTTATAATTTACTTCATTGACCGTTAAATTTAAATTAAATGAGTGTAAGCGTTTTTAGACTTATACTTATATAAAAATTTCATTTCTTTTATATATATATATATATATATATATATATAATAACTAATGATAAATATATTAAAAATTAGATTCATTGTTGTAGTTTATATAGAAATTAAAAACTTTTTAATCCTAAAATTTTAATACGTTTAAATCAGCATCATAATATACTTTTAAAGTCAAGATTGATATATTTATATTTATTCACTTTAAACATAAATTTAAGCAAATTTAGCTTAAACCTTATACCACACAAAAATAAAGCCTACAAGTTTGGCCACAAAAAGCATTGTAATAACGGTTCTTTGCAGAACAAAATTCACATTAAAAAGGATGACAATGTGAGTTTTTTATCATAAAAATTTTAAGAAATAAATAGCGTAATCTCTCCTGCTGCTTGCTTGAAAGCTTCCTTCGCTGAAATTGCATCTGGGAACTGAGATGGAGCTCGTTTGGCCTGCAAGGAAAACTATTCAGTTCAGTAGTTAAAACCTATTCTCTTTCGCTCTGCTCGTGTAAGCATTAAGTAACATCCAAGAGATCCAACTATATTTAGAAGGGAAAAAAAATAATTAACGAATACGTTAACATCGACTAACTTTAAATAATTTTAAATAATATATTCTTATTATTAAAAAAAAATTAGATTAAGATTGAAACTGTAAATGTATAATCAATATTTATTTTTTATAAAAAAATTATTTGTAAATAGTTTACAAAAGTTTATATCTATAAAATTGTATTCTATTTTGTTATGTTTCCTTTTCTGGCTGAACTCTAGTTAACATTTATTGCGAGGATAGAATTATTGACTCTTAAACCAGATGAATATTTGTGTAGCATTGAACCTTTAATATCCCCTCTCTAATTGGAACTTGTCTTAAGGTTTTATATTGTTTCACTTGATTTCAATCAATATCCTGAAAAATAATTGAGTTGTCTATTCTATTTTATATTATAAATTAAGAATTTATTTTTAAATAAGACAAATTTTAAAATACTTTTTTTTTTATTTTCCTAAATATTATTATTTAAATCTAGTCAATTAAAATTTTAATATACTATATAAATTAATTGACATAAAGGATAATGTTAATGCTCATTCCATACATGTACTCATGCGAACCCAAATCATGTAAATGGAGTTTCAAAGCTAGCTAATAAAATGTAATTTAATACATGCATCTTATGCCAAGTCATGGAGTCTGCCTATTTAATTATTGATGGTTCTGGAGCATAACATCACAAGGATAAGTAGTTAATACAGGATATTAAGGAACAAATATAGTGACATTAATTTGAAGTAAAAACAATTTACTCACTACCTAAATAGAGTCGACAAAGCGTGCAAAACATGAATAACAAAAAAGATATGTACAGCGGGGATGGAGTTGTGAACTTACTTGAGCTAGAACCATGCATGAATTTTCACTCCTATTGCTCAAAATATTTGCAGACATGACCTCAATATTGTACTTGTCCAGCACATAAGCGATGGTGGTCAAGAGGTTTGGCTTCTTGGGGGCGTAGATGGAGAATTGTGCATCACCTCCACAAATGTTCAAGGCAACATTTGCAGTAGTCCACCTATCGAAAGGTGCTATCTGTTGCTGAGAGGTTGAAGGTGCACTTGATGAAGTTCCCATTGTAATTGCATTGGAAAAGTTATTATAAGAGCCTTGATCAGTGATTATTGCATCCCTTAAGTCATAGGGTTGCCATTGCGAGTTGACAATAGATGACTCGCAAGCAAAAGTGGAGACACGTTGAAGCCTCTCTTGCTTCTGTTTTTCTAGCTGTTGGAGGTTTTTCTGTAGACTTCTTATGTAGTTCACTGCTTCATCCACAATGGTTGATTTATCCGCCTACAAAGAAATATCAAATATTAAAAGCTTGTTATTAGAAAACAAATTATTCAGCCACCTAAGCTTAACTCTTGTGGTTGTCGTGAGGTGGGTATTTCAGTGTTTGGCTAGAGATAAGTTCTAGCCAAAGTAACCGCTCTTTATTTTTAGTATAAACAAAATTCTATTTCATGGTAGTTTTTCAAAAAGCAAGTAAAATCTCTCTCTCTCTCTCTCTCTCGTATATTATGAAAGTTCTCCTCGAAAATTATTATTTGAAATTATTAACTACCGAAGTTTTCACCAATCCTATTTACTTGAACTTCGCTTATGTAATAATAATAATAATAATAATAATAATACTACATTTATGATACCCTCCCATCACTCTTGTAAACATTCAATCAAGAATTGAACGGTTCTATTTATTACAATGACACATTATTCACCATTTAGATTGCACGATTTGGACCGTAAATTTGTTTTCGAACATAGTTGTAATAAATATAACTATTGCATAAATAGTTTATTATGTGAGATATTAAACAAATATTCTATTACTAGCATCATTAAAATATATTTTTATTGCAATAGACTCTTTTTGGGTATAAGTGATTTTGTGTAATTTTTGTTGTGAAGATGTAACAGATAAAACAAACGCATGTAGACGAGTAACACAAATTTCTATATATCTCGAGATGTAGTCAAATTATTTGCTGTGGTCATAGTTGATTTGACGGTCAATGTACTCAGGCAAGCGTAGAGGGTTGATAAGGAGGAGGTTTAAGTGCATAATAAGGATTGAACATTTTCTTGTGTCACTTTAAGAGCCTAAATATGCCATCTTAAAGCCGATAATAATCGCACTAAAAAATTATTGTTTATAATTTTCTTAACCTAACAAGGAAAAACAATACATAAAAAGTTAGAGGTTTGTGTCCTTTCTACATTTTCTAACTGTCTCTGTCATCAAAAGATAGAGAAAAGGTAACAAACCCAAAAAATACATACATACAAAATATATATACACAGATATACGCGCACACGCACAGAGAGAGAGAGAGAGAGAGAGAGTTTTGTCATTTGAGGATTAATAGAGAAAAATGTTCATAAATTAATATTAAAATTATTGGTTAGCCTTCAAGGTAAATTATTAAGCCTTCAATGAAAATGAACTTAATTAATTTAATTTACCTTGGAAGGAAGCTGCGGAAGCAAAGCATGAAGACTAGCGAACATGTTCCTCATTTTCTTCCTCCTTTCTCTCTCAGTCCATATATGCATTTCATGATCAGATTCACGACCCTTTCCATGTTTCCCTTCACCACTTGCAATGTTCTCATTTTCACTAGTAATTCTTCGGCTTCGCTTCTTTTTTACCACAGCTTGATCTCCTTCATTTCTTTCTTTTGACTCGTTCAGTGGCGTCATGTTCTCTTTGCTTTCACCTGACTCATCAGAATTGGAGGGTTCCCATGACTGATTCTCCCACAAGAAAGTCAGGTCATGAGAATCTTGATCTCCTGTAGTCAGGTTCATAGCAGAGAGAGAGAGAGAGAGAGAGAGAGAGAGAGAGAGAGAGAGATTTGAGGCAAGGGAGATTGAAGAGGGTGCGTTTATATAAAGGTGGCGGAGTTCAGATGAAGTTTGGAAGGAAAAATTAGAAAATAGAAATGATGAGGATGGCTAAGAACAACCCAAAATACAATCATAAGGCAAAAACGTTACTTTGCATCCCAACAAATACCTTAAACATATAGCCTAATACCGCGTACACAGAATATATCTTTCCCACTGTCGATCTGGTCCCACCACATAGTCACCCTATTTGCTTTAGTTTGATTTCATAAATTATATAACTAAAATATTTCAAATAAAAATTAATTAATTAATTTTTTGTGCTATAAAAATATTTTAAATAAATTGCATGAGAGTTTTTATATTGTGATACTTGGGATGAATTTTTGGTGCCACTCTTAAGATGGAAGGCCAGTGACATTTTTCCTTTTAGGTGTATGGGAAGGCTTTACTAAATTATTAAATTTTTTTTTCAACCCAGTTTTTACTTTTCTAAATTGTTGCTTTTTAACCCGATCACTTATATGGTAATTTTGGAAAGAAAAAAAAAAGAACATTTATGATATTAAAGAATATTTTTCTCAATCCTTATCTCAAAGTCATACTAAAATTTATTGGATTTTTGTTTATTTTCTTTACGCCAAGTCTTTAACCTCTTTAAAATATAAGATTTTTTTTACAATGTTTGATAAGTTAAAATAATTTCTCTCACGAAAAAATTAAGTAATTACAATTATGTAAAATATATAAGTCATTCAAAATATTTAATAATGGATATTTAGTATTTTTATATGTATATCCATGGAAACACAATAAAAAATCTATTAAAATGTTTATAAATAAATTTGCTAACCATTGTTCTTTTAGAGTAACGATTATAGAATAAAAGTAAAAAAATATTATTAAAAAATGAACATTTAATATTATTTTTAGCATGGCTTCTAATAGCAATTTTTACTTATTATTTTTTAAGAGAAATAATTAGCAAAAATATTTATGAAAAATGATTTTTCATTTTATGCTCAAGAGTGCATAGCTAGTATGAAGATATTAAATACATCTTATTAAATATTCTCTCTGATCTATTTTATTAAAAAAAATATTTTTTTTTCTAAGTATAAGAGAACAGATATTTATTTTTAAGTGCATTAATTAATATTTTTTATACTTTTATTTATTACAAAATTTGTATTAACTCATTACCCATATAAGTAAATTTATTTATTTAATACATAACTTGTTATTTGACTATAAATATTTTAAAAATATTATAAATTTATGACATATAACTACCTTTTGTTGATCTTGATGAGCTAATTAATTGTTATAAAAAAATCCACGAGAGTTTTTAAAAATATTAAAATTAAATATTTAATTAAATTTTTATTTTTATTTAATAAATAAAATTTTAAATTTTACTTTTGTACTTTTAAATTTTTTTTATTTTTAAATAAAAAATAAATAAATGATAGCAACATGTTTTTACCATATTTTTAATATATTATTTATCATTGAGTAAAATTAATATAAATTTTATTGAATGATATAAATGTGTTTATTAAAGGGAGATAGTATTTGTATGATTCAGTTATTTCTATACATGAATTTCCCACACATATATAAAACAATATATTGTTAACATTTCTTGAAATTGTACGTGAATTCATTATGTACTTTAACTTACATGTATTACGACATATACGAAAATTTGATTCTTATGAAATAAATATAATGGCTGAATAGATAATTATCATAATAAACTTTTTTATACATCAAATCAATATAAAATTAGAGCCTAAAATTTTTTGCTTTGCAGGTAAAGTATTATTGTTTCTTATTTTGAGTATGAAATTCGCATGGAAGTTGTGATTTGGTGCTTTAGGTCTCTCTCTAAATTTGTCATTAAAATCGTACGAATTAAATAATTCAATTTTTAATATTGAAGAATATTTAGTTGACAAAATAATATTTATTTTCATCTTTAATAAAAAAATAAGAACAATAAAAATAATAATAAGATAAAAAAATAAATAAATTATATTTTATAAAATTTTGAACTATCATAATTTTAAAATTTTCATAAACTAAAATATCCGGCTAGCTAATCTTGAAAACAGACTTTAGAATTTTCTCATAAGTTAAAACATACACCTTTATATTCTTTTTACATCAAAAAGCATCTTCCATTTAACAGTTAAATGTTAATCTTCTTGAAAATTACGAACTTACATCTTTACTCGTTTGCATTAATAATTACTTTTGTATATTATTAATTTTTAATGCTTCTTACATGCGTTATTTTGGATAATCTAAATCTTCTGAGGTACTGATTCTAACAGATAATTTTTTTTATTAATTTTGTTAAAGATATTGATTTCTTATTGTCTTTCGGAGCGGTGAAATAATATCCCCCGTAACCATTTTTGTTCTTATCTGCAGGTCCAAATGATGAAGGAGTTTTTGTTCTCATATATAATATACGCAATGAGTACGCTCTTAACTGTCTCCTTAATAAGAAGAAAAGAGTCTAACGTTTTGAGTATATGTAATGATGATTTAGATGCATTTTGTCACCTCTCTCCAAGTAACCTATGCAACATTCAGCTTAATTCATTTTAATAACAGCTAACTAGCAGTACCGATGATCCTATGGTCGGTTCAATCGTTCGGTTTGATTTTTAAAAAATTAAATACCATTAAAATTATTTTTTTTTATGAGTTTCTTTTTCTAATTTAAAATAGTCAATATTTTAATCTTTACTCAAGTCGTAACATTACTTTTCTTATTTATAAACTATCTTAATAATAACGTTATTATAAATCACTTTTAACATAAAATAAACTTATCCAAATACACTATTAGAATACCAAATTTTGAAACTAACCGGTCACGCCCATCCTGTAACTAGAACAATGTTAGTGATAACTCTAAGAGATAATAATAAAAAAAAATTTGAAGGAAAACCTTTGTTTGCCCATTGCCTAAGGCATAACTTAGGTGAGTTAGTTGATTATAAAATGTGCCCTGTATTTTATTTTTTTTATTGGGAGGAATGTTTATATTTAGTATTCAACTGTGTTTTGAGCAAGATTACCTTTTGTTGTTTGTGAAAAGTTTAAAATATACATGTCATGAATTGTAAACAAAAGTAAATCAGACAAAGTGCAAAAGTTCATTATGCATTTTACAATAAAATTTATTTGTGAATACATGAAGAAAACATTGAAGGAATATATAATTACAAATAATGTTATGTGTACATTTAATATAATGTGAACCTTCTTTTACTTAAAAATGCATACATATTTCATATACACGAAAAGGACATGTTAAGCTTGAGAGGAAAGGAGGAAAGAAATGGCAAGAATAAAAATATATTTGAGGTACAGATGTTATATGTACATATTTTTTACAACTGATTGAATGCGGGCTCCTGGATGTGCTATCACGTACTCCAAAAGTAACATAGATTTAGGGAGGGTTTTATTATATCTTTTTATTTACCTTTTTAATATTTTTTTATCATTCTATAAATAAGTATTAAATAAAAAATATAAACATTACTTTATTATCTTAAATATATAAAATATATTTATTATTTTCTTGATTAAAAGAAATTAGAAAGATTTATAAGAATATAAAAATAGAAAATTTAAAAGTATTCTTAACAAAATATAAAAAACATTTTAATCCCAATGATAGCAATGGTAAGCTTGTGTAGTAATTGTACAACTATATGACAAACCTTGCACTTTTATGTTTTTATGAGGCGGGAAAGTTGGTGGTGCAAACAAAGCACTGTTCGGGGGTACGCCAACTCTTGCTTTAAAATATACATTAAGCACCATTGGCAGTAGAAAAGTAGAATTAAACTCCTCAAAACGCAACACGCAAACCACTCTTGCATGCAACTCTAATAGCTTGCTCTGAGTTCAGTCCATTAGCTGGCCGCATGTTCGAGACTTGATACTCCATCCAAACCAAGAATAACGCAACACGCAAAGTGGCCATTTTGAAACGGCTTTTTCTCTGTTGTTTTTCCATCTCTTGCTCCCGTTTGACAAATAAACAAAAATTAATGTGACTTTCACTAACATAACAAGTTAATCATCCTTAAAGGATGGAGAACTAATAATTAGTTGAAGTCATTAAATATTCAGTTTAAAAAGTGAACAAAATAACCATACACATTAGATTACTGACTGTAATTATGATGGTTCTAAAATGTTTTCTGCACGTCACTCTTTGTGTAAAATACCAACGATTATTATCGTATTGTAAAGGTAGATTCTTTTTCACTTTAGAGGAGAAAAGGTGTAGAGAACGTGGTGGCGTCATCATGTAGACAATAGAATCGGTAGAATCGGCTACAAGTCACAATACGAACGTTACATATCAAACAAGAACCAAACTCTATCAGGTTTGGAATACACAAGCTGGGGTTGTTGAACATGAGAGAGATACATGGTTCTCGAATGCCGGCAACCTCAACTTCAACGATGCAGGAGCAGAAAGTGCAAACCAAAATAAGGTGCAGAGGTTAAGTATACTTGAGAACCGCGTTATGACCATGCTTTGCAGCAAAAGAATTGGCATGTAATTAGGCACGTTCAAAACTAAACCTAACTGCTATTAGAAAAATTAACTAAAATTCATTCAAACATATATATATATATATATATATATATATATATATATATATATATATGTGTGTGTGTGTGTTTGTGTGTGTGATTTATATTTCAGTTTTTATTATTAAAATTGAACCAAATTAAATTGAATCACACTTGTCATATATTTATATTATCTTTCCATTATATTTTCCTACAAAACTAATTTTTCTCTTCATCTTATCATAATATTATATAAATACATTTTTATTTACTCTAAATTCATATCTCTCTATCATTTGAGTATTATTTCTTTTCTGTTCTTTATAAATGAAAATATAATTCTTTCA